AAGGCGGGTAATGCTCGACAAGGGTGACACCATGCAGGGTCGACCATGAAAAGGGGGAGCCTGGAATAGGGTGGAGATATGCCTAACTGAAGGCATGCAAGGGCCGGCACTAGGGTGATGAGGGCAGTGGGTGAGGGAAACATGCACACAACTCACCGACTGGGGGAGGAAGGAGCTAGATCTGGGAGCAGGGAAGCCAAGATAACGTTACGGTCCCAATGCCTATGCGATACCAAGGGAGAGCCCAACTCAAAGAGACCCAGCTAAGTGAGAACCATCATGGGACAGATGCAAGGGAATGTACAGGGTAGCGTGGTGGCGTGAAGTAGTCACGTCCAAAGTAGCTAAAGCCGATAAGGTAGCTAAAGTTATCGAATCGGTCGATGACGTCGATGAAGTAGCAGTCGAGTCAATGTCGAAGCAGAGCCGCAAAACGCTGACATCCTGAAGAAGAGTTGATGATGGAGTACCTGATGGTGTGAGTCAGTGGGGAAAGATGGAGGATAAGTGTGTCAGTCATCGTAACGTGAAGGGCGACGATGAGTGCGCTGTGGACGCTCGGAGGCGACCATCTGCGGCTGAGGAACGGCCTCAGAGGAAGCGGGCTCATCCTCAACGATCTCCTTAGTCGTCGGAGGAGGAAGAGGGTCAGTCGGCTGAGTAGAAGCAGATGTCCCAGCACGACGAGCACGATCATATGTACGCACCAATATCCTGGCGTGCTGCAAGTGCTCGARGGRCTCCCAAGTAGCCTCCTCATCAGGGTAGCCCTTCCAACGCACAAGGTACTCGATGCATGGAGGGGTATCGTCAGTAGCTCGGCGTGATACGATGTCGGAAACAACGAACTCCTCGTGACCGTCCACCATGATAGTTGGAGGACGCTCATAAGGGCGTCCGGCGAAGCGCTCGGACGATCTGCGATAAGGATGCAGCAAGGAGACGTGGTAAACATCGTGTAGGCGAGCCTGTCGAAGGTAATCAGGTAGCTTCACACGGAAGCTGACCGGACTAGCGGCAGTATCAGAGCCGACGGCCTGAAGGATGCGGCATGGACCGAAGAAACGACGCCTGAACTTGCGAAGCATATCTGCTTCGAGCTGTAAGTGGCGTGCGTCGACGAGCACATCGTCACCGACTTTGAATGGATGATCCATTCGTGAAAGGTTCGCTCGTGCGGCCATGCGAGTCTGGGAGTCGGCTAAACTCTCATGTGCGCGCTTCATAATCGCCGCCAAGTGGGCGATCCAGTCGTCAAGCGCAGGGCAACGAGTGTCTGGGCGCAACCGCGATGGTCGTAGGAAATCCGCAGATACGTGAGGGTGGTAGCCGAGGTCGCAATACAATCGCGACATCCCCGTGGCTGGCGAAACAGCGTGGTTGTATGCAATCTCCGCGTGGGCTAAGTGTAAGTCCCACTGCTGGTCATCCCTAACAAACTTTCGGAGGATATTACC